GCTTCAGAAGTTTAGCAACCACGATTAATATCTGTGTCAATAAATATGGATGATGAGGTGCCTTCCTTTATTTTATTACCTTCTGCTCAGAATCTGGTTTATTTCCCACTGGGGATTACTGTGGATAAAGGATCTTGATTCCTACTTTCCAAGTATTTGTCTGAACATTCTGTGACCTTGACCTGTCTGTCTGCTCCTGAGCATGAAACGGTTGCTCAGGGCAGTGAAAACTCCTCTTTGGGGTTTGTTTTTCTCAAGACTGAGCTTGAGGAGAAAGAGACAGAGGAAATGCTTGTGGAGTTTGGTGAGCAGGAGGAGTGTTCCTCTCAGGCCCACTGACTCCCTCCCAGGGACAGAAGAAGCTGCAGCTATTACATTGCTACTGTTGAGCTTTGCCCCTGGCAAGGCAGTTCTTTCAAGATCTATTTGTATTTTGACCCCAAGAAATCATAAAAACTGCCCTTTTCGTTTGAATAGATATAATGGTGAACAGATTCATTCTCTATCATTTTCTATGACCCCCCATCTCTCTCTTTCTCTCTCTCTTTCTCATGTGCGTACGCGTGCAAACACACACACACACACACAGAGCAACAATTTAAATACTATTCCAGGAAAAGCAGTCTGAGTAACCTAATGATGTAGATACGTCACTCATCTGTGCAGATGACTTTGTATCTGGAACATGGACAATTTAAATAATATTATTTTTCATCTAATGGCAGAAAAATAAGCGAAAAGCAAACTCTCAGATGGAATGAAAATTTTTACCGTAGCTTTACAATTTCTTTGTAGTAGTAAAAATCCAAGGATAAAAAGAGGATAAAGAATTCTGTCTGACTGAGGGATTCTGTCTCATTTTCAATATGCTTAATGGACCATTCAGGTAATAGCTTGAGCGATGTCACTGTAGCTGAACATGTGACCAAGAAAGGGACTTGGCCTTTTTTCTGCCTTTTCTATTAGAGCTGAAATCTACCACTACCAGACATTATCACTGGTCTTCTCAACCATGGAGCATCCTGATCCTTTGCAATTTTAAAGTTCCTATTATAAGGAATTTCTTATTCCTTATAATTCCTTCCTTTATAAGGAATCCCGGAAAAATAAGAAGGTGTGTTAGAACACCAACTGATTTGCAATGCCTTTATATAATGCACAATACAATGAGCAAAATCAATAAAACTGAGTGTATCAAAAATATAAAAGCATATGCAGGAAAAATTATGCATTCTGGGTCTGGGGACCAAGCAGTGCTTTATATCAACATCAATGAGCCAGATTCTTCTGCAGAAGTTTCCTTTTGTGTGTGTGCACATGTGTGTTCCAGCACTGCATTAAAGAAAAGCCAAGGCTATAGGCAATGTATGTCAGCCTTATAGCTATTGATTTTTTATCCTTCCAGAATTGAATGTGAATATAAATACAACCCTGACCTTCATATTAAAAGCTCTACCCAAGGCTTTCTTTGTTTGCAAAGGATATCACTGGGTTCACCTGTATGACGATCCAGCATGAGTGGAGCATAAAAAAAAAATGTCATTTTTTTTTCTGTTAGAAATTCAGATTAAAAAAACTATACTACTTTAAAAAAACTATAAACTCTATATGTCTCCTGTCAAAAGTAAAGAAAAGCCCAGTGGGTACCTGAGCTGTGGCGAAATTTCCCCCACTGAGAATATGAATGTGTATTCATAAGCACTATTGCAGGGATAGGTGTTAGAGAAAAAACTTGAACCTCCTTTTAATCACATAAATAACAGTGCAAGAATTATGACACTGACTTTTTTAAACAATTACTTTCTTTTTTTTTGACTTGAGAACATCAAATTGGATATTAGATCCAGAATAGAAAGAGAAAGAGAAGTTGAAAGAAAAAAAAAGGATTTAAATAAAGGATAGAGGAGAAACAGAAAGTTCAGAAAAACAGGGAACAGTGGAAATGATTTGAAATGAATATTTTGCAGAATCTAAGTATAATAACTGTGCTCATTTGATTAGCTTTAAAGAAATTTGTAGATGTGTGTTATAAATGTAATATGCCGGGTTTGATTCTTCCCCCTCTCGGAGAGCCCAGCAAGTTACCGAGAGTATCTCGCCTGCACTGGCAAGCTCCCCGTGGTGTATTGGATCTGCCAAACACAGTAACAACGTCTCACAATGGAGACGTTACTGAACCTGCTCAAACAAATCGATGAACAACGGGAGGACAGTGTTACAGTGCTACAGTGCTCAAAATAAAATTTTAGTTTTAAAGCTTTCAGAAAAATAGGGAAACTGGCGATTTTGTTGTTGGAATATGTGCATTGGTGGAGGGTTGGATGTCAGAACATTGCATCACTGAAACCCAATCATGAACAGAAGAGCTTTGCAACTGTGTATTTCATGGTGATTCAATTAAAAAAATGTCATGCAGAGAAGTGGTGAGGGGGATAGGCAGAGAGGTAGTACAACGCATTGCGAAGCATTGCATGCATGAACCCATATGGTTCCCTGAGTTCAACCAGGAGTCCCTGAGCACAGAGCAAGTAGTAAACTCTGAGCACAGTTGCATGTGGCCCTCAAACCCAAAATAAATAAATAAAATTAAAATCCAAAACATTACAATAAGAAGAAAAGAAACTCCACAAGTTCCTTGCATGTTGTGAATGTAACAGTCCTATCTGAAGCCACATAGTCTCAAATCTTGGTTAAAATTTGTATCTATTCAATTATTTGTAAGCACCTTAATGCCCATCAGAAAATTAAGATTTCATACAAATGAATAAGATTTCTCATTAGATATTGTAATAATTTATATTCAAATAACAATCTATTTTTGCTTTACCTTTCCATTCATTTCTTCATATCTTCCTGTCTACTAATTCTCTTTTTCTTTTAGATCGAGTCTTATGTGTAACCATCCACTGCATGTTTATGTGAGGACAGATATGCTCAGAGTTAATTCCTTACTCTGTGTTTGGGGATCAGTCTTGGTGGTGCTTGGGGAACATGTGAGTTGCAGGTGACAAAATTAGTTACAGAAAACTCAGATGTTTTATGCAGGTTCAGAAGGCCTTTTGACCACTTCTAATGCTCTTTCATAAGCCAACTTTAAAGGTAAAGCAAGAATGGCAGCAACAAATTCTTACTCAACCACTCGGTCTTTGTCTCTCTGCTTATTCCTTTTTAATATTTTTTTCTAAGTAATAGCAGCCACATTCCCAACTAAAGCAGAGTCTCCATAAGTCTTCCTTCATAATAGCTGTCTCTAAAAATATATGACATTATTTTCTTGCATTATTTAGCTCATAAATTCTCTTCATAGCTATGTTTGCATAGATCATAGATTCTCTGCCCATCTTCTCATCTTTCCCGTGGTCTCATTTCATTTCCACTCACTTCCCTCTTGCCTGAAGATGTTTCTTCCCTTAGAGCTGAGCAAATGTGAAGGTTGTATTGCATGCTTCATGGTGTTTCCTCGTCTCTCTTTTTCTGTTCCCATATCCACATCTCCTTGCCCATAGGGTTTTATATATTAATTCCTCCTAGTTTTTTCCTCGCTTTCTTCTTTCCTAATCAAACTCTTGCCTTGTAGAAAAGGAGAAATCAGAGAGAACTGAAAAGTAGACACTGGATTTACAATCTATAAGTACAATCTATAATTCCATTATTTATCTTTAGATAGGAGAGGCACTGAATTAGTCTTCAATAAAATAAGAAACAAGAGCCATTCTTATTCCAAAGCCAATGAATAAATGTTTTATTGGCTCTTTCTTTCCTCAAATCATAATGGTACACCTTATATCCTTAACTATTCTCTCTTGACTAAAGTTGAACACAATTTATCAACATAGTTTCACTTAGTTTAATCAAAGAGAAATGCATCTATGTTTTTATTTCATTTTATTTTTGAGGGCCTCCCAAACAGTGCTCTAGGGTCACAGGAACCACTTTCAGTAATACTTATCCAATTTGACTATCTGCTGATTAATCTCATGTATTTGCATATGGAAAGCTTGCACTGCTATTCGCTGAGCTATCTTTCTAGTCCAGGAAGAAGGCATTTTCTTTTAACTAGCCTTACAGATATATAATTCATATGCTATATAATTCAGACTTAAAGAACTTAAAAGCCCTAAAATTCAATTGTTACCAATATGTATATACAAACATCACCAGTCAACTTTAAAACATTTCATTATTTTTTAAAAAATCCTATGCATTTTATCTATCAACTTGTTCACCTCTAACTCACTTAGCCTGAACTTAAAAGAAACAATGTTATTATTTTCTGAACCTATACATTAAATAGTGAATGAGATATTTTAAACAAAATCTATATAGTATAGAATATTCTAGAGATTGTCTTCAAATGCCCTTAAATATTTTATAAAGAGTCATATTATATGCCCCTAGGTAGCAAAATAGCATTTCTCAATAAATAAAGCATACCAACTTCTATTTTCAACACCGGGAAATACAGGTGTTTCTTCACTGACCGTTATATAAGCTATTGAGATTGTGTTCAGGAATAAGGGTCTTTAAAAAAATAAGTGATGTTATTTAGTAGAAACTCGAAGTGGAAAAATATTCATTCTCTGTGAGAAACACAGGCACTAAAACTAACTGGGAAAAAAGACGCAGATCTCCTGCTGCTGGCCCCCTTCCGGGCATCATAAGTCATCGAAATGACTGGGTAAATTGTTATTAATCTCTCTCTCCAGTTCTCTTTTTATCCCTCCCTTGCCTTTCCCCCTCCTTTTTCCTCTACCCTCCTCCAGCATGCGAATAATTGCTTGAGTTAATTGCATATACAATATAATATGAAAGTTAAGTCATATAATAATGGTGTTGAATTGCAGCCAAAAAATAAAAATAAAAGAATCTTCTCTTTCTCTGTGATCTTTCTGAACTGAATAAAGTCTGTTGAATTTTGTTTTTGGTTTCCTTTCTGATTTTCTGGGAACAAAGAGTTAAGGTGCGGTGTTTTGTACTAACTAATATTTATCTTTCCAATCAGATGATGAAAGTATTCCAGAAAAGGAGTTTTATCTAGAAAGAGAAGTTGGATTGAAGGATGAGGAGAGGATCTTTCTAATATTGGGATCTAATCTTATTTACTACTGCCCCTATGAAGTAAGTTATTTTTCCTTCAGTTTGCTTTATTAGAACGAATATCTTTTGTTTGTTCTTTTTTTTCTATTTTCCTGGAGTTCAAGTTTGATTTACAAACCTTATATTCCATTTCATCCTCGAGTCTTTACTAATATAATTTGACTTATGTATTGTTAGTATTTCCTTTTCATGCATATTAAAACTGCTGGACTTAAGGAGTTGGAGAGATAGCACAGTGGGTAGTGTGTTTAACTTGCGTGTGATCAATTGTGGTTTGATCTCTGGCATTCCATATGATCCCTAGAGCACTGCCAGGAGTGATTTCTGAGTGCAGAGTCAGGAGTAACCCCAGAGCATTTCAGGCTGTGGCCCCAAAACAGACAAATAAAAGAAACCATTGTATTTAGACATGAGATTTTTCTCAAGATTGGGAATTTATGTCAAAATCAAGATCACATCTTGAAAAGATTAGAACATTTCCTGTTCAGCCTAAAGTGAGTAATGATGAACAAAATACCTAAGATTAGGATTTTAGTCTAGAGACAAATGTACCAGTTATGAAGTATTGTGACCTTTAAAATATGTATATATCACTGTCATTTTCACTGTCCTCCTGTTGTTCATCAATTTGTGGGTTCAGTAACGTCTCCATTGTGGCACCTGTTACTGTGTTTGGCATATCGAATATGTCACGGATAGCTTGCCAGGCTTTGCCATGCAGGCGAGATACTCTTGGTAGCTTGCCAGGCTCTCCGAGGCGGGTGGAAGAATTGAACCTGGGTCAACCATGTTAGCCATGTGCAAGGAAAACACTCTAACCACTGTGGTATATAGCTCCAACCACTTGTTATGTACACAAGCAAACAGCTAATTACAAGATAGCATAATATGTTAAATACTTAAAAGTTTACAAATTTGCATTATCTCTTAGTAGATATTTTGTACTAAAATTTTGAACATATCCTGCTCCACATGCTCTTTACTGAGATGCTCTTATTCTCCCAACTACTTCACATGTTTTTGCCAGCTGAAATTCATTGCTGGCTAATAAGACTGCTTATGATTCTGTTTCTCTCACTGATTAGCAGAATAATTATTTAATATATATGGATATTTCCTTTATTTTCTCCTGGCATCACTCATTTTTGTTAAAGTAAATAAGAGCACTAAGTTAATGCTCAGCACATGAAATTGTTAAAGGAATTAATGTCATGCTCTGTAGAATCCAAGAAATGATCACTTAGTGTCCTGAATATTCCAGCATTTCATTTATAAAATTTTTAGGTACACAAGACTTACTATCATCATTAATCATCAAATCATAATGACTTGGGGACCCAGACCTGGAAGCATATAAGCATATAAGCAATTTAGTGTTTTATTTTTTATTTATTCACCTTCTGGACTATGCTCTGTGACTAAGATTTTCTTCCCCAAGTTAGTTCTCTAAGTATTTTGGAAGACACAAGATACATACCTTAGCATGTGTCTCTCTCCTATATCTCTCTGTGAGTCAAAAGGGGAAAGGGCAGCATTTTGGCTTTGTATCCAGAGTTCAAGGATACACTTCCCAATACTACTTTAAAAACTTGTACCTTCACACAACTATTACAGGTACACACAACAAAGAAATATGCTGCTCTGTTTGGTTCAAATATTGCTATCACTCATTTGCTCTGTTATCCCTTCCATAAAGCTCTTAAAGAAGACCCTCCGCATTGTCTCCTAGGAGTGTGGAAAGAAGAAGCACTCCTTAGGAGCTTCAGAAACTGTGTATGCCTATGCATAGGAAGCACTGACCATATACAGGATTACTGTACACACTGATACATGAAAGAATCCTTGTAGAAACAAGGTGGTATCAAATTGATGTAAGCAACATATTCTTTTATCCCTAAACAGAATAGAAAGAGATATTTTTTAAAAGGTTGACCTAAATTAGACCTTAGTTCAATAGTCTTACCTTTGGTTCTTCTTTCCACATGTGTGTCTGCTATCATTTACCTTTCTTACAAAATTCATAATCTAATGAAGAGTGACAGACTGATAGAATAGGTTTGACATAGTACAAATACTACCCAAAATAATCATGAATTATTAAAATTAATCTGATGAAATGGAGGAGATAGTAATATTATTCCAGGGAATTACTGACACATGGGTCAAGTATTAAACTGTATGGTGAATTAAAGATTCATAGAAGTTGTTCAACAAGAGAGAAGATATTGGGGGTATGGTGTCGCCAGCAGGTCAATTTGTACATGTGAGACGAGTGCATCAGCAGCCTGATGGTGCCTTCAGACTTCTAGATACCCCAAAATTGCTTTTGTGACTTTGGCCAAACCCCAACAACTTGGAGTCAAGTTTACCAAGAAAGTAAATGGCCAAAAGTTAGGTATGTGGGAGACATACCCACAAACTACCTCCAGCTCAGCTGTATAATTGGAGGCAAGGCCTCGCTGTTTCCTGATCAAACTGCTTAATGGCCATGATCCCAGAGACTCAGAAACAAATCGCAGAACCCAGCAGCTTTTGGCAGAAATGTGTCTGGTCCCCATGGTAGATTACTGGTGCCAGCCACCCCAGGTGGGAATAGGTTTTGTACCTTGGCCTGTTCCCCCAGGCACCTTGGTGGCTGCCATCCTCCAGAGACTATTGGACAATCAGGTTTGGGCCTGCAGTGACGAGACACGTGGGGGCCTCATGGAATAGGGGTGGAAACAGCCCTTTTCTCTCAGTCCAATGAGACCCTGAGTTGCCACCCACAGATGGCCTCTCTGTGTCCTGATCAAGCTGCTTAACGGCCATGATCCCAGAGACTCAGAAACAAATCTCAGAACCCAGCAAGTTTTGACAGAAATCACTCCAGATTTAATTGTTAAATTTCGAAATTCCAAAACCATGTGGCCACAGTAGTTATTCATTACCAGCAATAGAAAACAAATTATCTACAGTTGCCATTTCGGCAGATCTGAGTGTTGGGGTAAAATTCCAAATAATAATGGTGGGTCTGGGTAGAAATATTGAATGAAATCAAAGTGAATAGAGAGTAATGTGGAAATCATCTGTCCCTCAGATAGGGTGAGGGTGTGGGATGGGCGGGTATACTGGAGTTTTTGGTGGTGAAAAATGAGCACTGGTGAAGAGACAGGTGTTTTATCATTGTATGACTGAGACCCAAAAGCTTTGTAACTGCTCTCATGGTGATTCAATAAATAAATTTATAAAAAAGAATAAAAAAGAGAGAAGATATTTCTAGAACTTACAAAATACTCTCATAATGGGGTTCATGTATTTGTATATGTTGCTGAAGAAAAAAATCACAAGAATAGAACACACCTATGTCTATTGAATATGGAAATGATTACATAATGAAGAATTATTAATTTCATACATCTCAATTTCTAGAGTTATCAGCAAGAGAAACCAAATCTTGGTAATTCATGAAAATTCTATTTTATTATATACTTATGTATATATGCATATAGAAAATGCCAGAATAAATTTAAAAGTGGATAATTAAGAATCATGTAATTTTAGGCTATAAATCAAAGAATTCATAGAAATGGCCATTTGCTGTTCAAGAGTAGGTCTGAGAAGATCTCACTTACTCATCTGGTGTCATGCCCATATTTTAAGGAAGTCATATAGGTCTTTGGTAAAAACTCGGTCCTTATTACAAAGTAAAAAGAGTGTTCTCTGTCAAAAATTTCTCTTACAGAGTGCACAAGTTAATACTTGGACCTCAAGAGGAAAACAGTAAAATGACTGTTAACATTATCTACCTTTAAAACAAAGGTAACATATCGCCCCACTGATGACAACTGAATAAATTTGCTCTACTCAGTCTTTCACATATGTCAAGTGACCACTTATCATGAAACATCATAAACAAAGCTTGCACTTATCACTGAGACACATAGCCTGGTATATTTGATCTTCTTTCCTTCTATTTTAAGCAAGTTTTCTTGTGGGAGAGAAGTCAGAAAAAATGAGAGAAATCAGAGAATATTTTCATTTGTTTAACCTCAGAACATTCACATTTAATGACTGATACATACTTTATTATAAAATTATGTCATATCGTTCAATGTTATTTTAAAATTCTCACAAAATGGTTAAATATTTTGTAATATTGATGAGTAGGAGTACTTAGATTTGAAGTTATACATATAATGTGAGCATATCTGGACAGTAAGAAAATAGCAGAACCAAATCTTTGCAAGCCCTTTTGAAAAAATATTACAAAGGATCCAAATAACTCCAGAAACATACTGCTCAGAAGATAACTACATAAACACAGATATACTTATTCCATCAAATTAAGATGACATTTTAATGATGAGTATTTTTAAAAAATAAATCATTGGTAAGAATATTATATAAACAGGTGTTCTAAAGTATTTTCATCATTATGTGATTTTGTTGCCAAAAATAATATAAGTAATTCACCTGTTTAAATTTAAAAATAAAACTCATTTGTGCATATAAAAAAACCTTTGAAACATACTTTTTATTTTTGATAAAATATTCAAATTAAAATTTCAGTGGGATTATAACGCATCTGTTAATAATATTAAAAATGTAATACCTTCCAATCAGTCTGGGGAACAATTGATTGACACTACAAAAGATGAAAATTTGCAGGACAAATTTTATCACAGATTTTTACTTAATGGCATTTGGGACTTAATACCGAGTATCATAATTTATCAAGCACTGCATGTCACTAGGAGATAACTTTTTCAGATGTGATACTAAAAATAATTAATTAATTAATTAAATTGATTTTGACTTTGTAGACTCAAGACTCAAGGGTAGTTCAAAATGTTATCTTAAGTTTTCTAACTTAAACAATATATGCAGTCATACTGCTCACATGAATGCATATTATAAATTATTTTAGATTATTTTCATTTGATCTTTATCTAAATTTATAATTCCCTTTGTGTAGTTTAGTCTGGATATGTTATTAATACACAACGTTAAAAACTGGTGAAAAAATAATTTTTGTCAATACA